CTTGCCTGGACTACTGCAGTACCCAGCTAACAGTTTTTCTCTACTTAGACTCTTCATTCCAGCCGATCCTTATCAGAGTACTTTGGGCTCTAAGGCACCAAAAAACCGACTGCAGAGCTCTTAAGTATAAGGGAAAATTATTATTTCACATGACGAAAAGTTCAAAGATAAGGCACTTTCAGGAAAATTCAGCAGCTCAGGGCTCATCAGGTTGCCAGTTCTTTCCAATTTCCAAAGTTTCCCACCCCCAGCCTGTTAGTACTTCCCATCATGGTTCAAATGCCATACGGTCCCACCATGACATCTGTATGTTTTCATTACAGTCAATCTTCCAAGAACCCGTAAGTGGCTTCCTCTTCGGTCTCCTTTGCCAAAATTGCAACCTACACCTGTTCTCAAGAAAATCGCTGACAAAGGTAATGGAACTCCCATTACTAAGTCAGACCACTGGTTCCCTACACATCAGAACCAATGGTTCCTTATGCTTCATATATTTCATAACTCTTCTCTTTTGAAATAAAATAAAACCTAACCCTACAATATTTTAAAAACACATCAACATAAGCCCTAAGTAGAAAATAAAAGAGAAATAAAGGCAATTTATAAAAATTATATGTGTATGGGTACACAGGGTAAATTGTACCATGGGTTCCAATTATCTCCTGCTTTCTCTATAACAGAACTACACACCTCAGCTTGCTGGCTGTGACTTACAGTGTCTCACATAATTGGTGTCAGTGTCTCACAAATTGCTTTGGTCAATGTAATATGAATGGAAGAGTCACATCTGAGAAGAGTTTGAAAAGTCACCAGATGACTGTTACATTATTCCTCTTTGTGTGTGTGTGTTACTAGGGCTTGAACTCAGAGCCTAACTCTGAGCTACATCACCAGCCGCTTTTTATCTTTTATTTTGAGACAAGGTCTTGCTAAATCACTAAGTTGACCCTGAGATCCAACTTGCTGGCCTCAGCCTCCCAGAATGCTGGGATTACAGGGTGTGGCACCGTGGTCGGCTTATTCTGCTTTCCTTCTGCCATAGCAACGGCATGTCTGAGAGGGGCTGCTCCTTCACCTCCACTCTGGAAGTGACAAAGGCCTATGGGACTGAAGCAGACCAGCAAGAGATGTGTAAAGTGAACAGGATAAACATTATTGTTGTAAGTCATTGAGATTTGAGGGATTGTTTGTTACTATAACATAACTAATCAAAATCTGATGAACACAATATAATGCAAGGTATTCCAGCATGTAAAATAGTAGTCTGCATATTATGTATTTTTTTACCTATACACAGCATTACCATCATTTGCAGCTTCAGATAAATACTCATACAATTGTTTTGTATGAAACAATTTAGAAACCAAGAGGGATATTGCTATTAGTGCCATGATTTTCTGCAACGGCGAGCAACTCTTGGTGAAGCTGTGAGTTAAAAACAAAAAAACATTCCTCAATTTGCATGATGATTTACATTTATGGAAATGAAGCCTATACTAAATTGGGCAAAATGTATAATGCTGTTAGAATACATATAGCTGTAAGACTGGAAGAAAGCATGAGGATGTGTTCAGCTCATGAAGACTCATCAAACTACGTCTATGCGCATTATCCCCAATGCATGTTATATCATAGCAGTGAGTTTAAACAGTCATGCAAGGCATGGGACAAATCTATAGTGTGTGAGATTGTCCTATGCCTTCTAGGATGTTTGGCATTCCTGACATCTGTCTCCTATGTCGATAGTGTCCCCTGAATCATCATGCCAAAAACCACAAAATTCCCCACAAAATTTCTGTAATACTGAACCTCTGAGTGCTGTAAGTTTATGCTAATCCAGCCTCTCTGCCTAGGTGGAGCTTTATAGCTGAATACAATTGGTCTTTCCTTGGCCACCCTTCATAGGTACAGTCAGAGAGAACAGGGAGTGTTGCTGCCACTGTTGGTGGTAGCGGTGGAAGGGTGGCAGGTGTTGTAGTGGCAATGGTGGTAAAGGTGATAATGGTGGGGGTAGTGGTGCCAGCAGTAATGGTGATGGTGGAGATGGTGGTGTTGGTCATGATGGAGTTGATGGTGGTCTTGGTGATGATGGAGTTGATGGTAGTCTTGGTGATGGTGGAGTTGATGGTGGTGATAGTAATGACAGAGATAATGGTGATGCTGGTAATGATGGAGATGGTGGTGTTGGTGATCTTGGGGATGATGGTGGTCTTGGTAATGATGGAGATGATGGTGGTCTTGGTGATGGTGGAGTTGATGGTGGTCTTGGTGATGATGGAAATGATGGCGGTGATAGTGATGACAGAGATGATGGTGGTCTTGGTAATGATGGAGATGATGATGGTCTTGGTGATAGTGGAGTTGATGGTGGTCTTGGTGATGATGGAAATGATGGTAGTGATAGTGATGACAGAGATAATGGTGCTGTTGGTAATGATGGAGTTGATGGTGGTCTTGGTGATGATGGAGATGATGGTGGTCTTGGAGATGATGGTGGTCTTGGTGATGATGGAGATGATGGTGGTCTTGGTGATGATGGAGATGATGGTGGTCTTGCTGATGATGGAGATGATGGTGGTCTTGGTAATGATGGAGATGATGGTGGTCTTGGTGGTGATGATGCTGGTGATGGGGTTGATGGAGATGATGGTGGTCTTGGTGATGATAGCAATGATGTTAATGGTTGTGGTGGTGATCCTGGTGGTGACAGTGGTCAGTTATCCATCTGTGTCTGCCTATCATCTTCCACATCCTTTCACATACATCTGAGATCACTTTGTCCAGATCTCCCAAATCTGCAGGGGTTCCAAGTTGTCTGCAGGATAAAACACACCCAACTTGCTTTCCTAGGTTAATTTTGAGGCTGCCTCTGTTTTCACTGGCCCACCCCCACTTCCCTTCACTGAATAGGCTCTGCTGTTACTGCGAGATACTCCTCTATTGAGAAAGCCCTGCTCCCATTCTCACTTCCCCGGGTCTGCCTTCACGTGCTTCTTCCCGTCAGAGTTAACTTCTCCTTTGTCTGCCTCCCCACCGTGCCTGACTTCTATCTCCTCAGCATTTGCCCCATTCTGCCTTTTGTATAGTCAGTTGGCACCGTCTTCTATGCCCTCCAGGGACTTTGTACAGTGAGAGGTACTCCCCAGGGCTCAAGAAATACGTGTTGAACTACACTGAATGAGAAACACTGTCTAATCACAGACATCAGCAAATTAACTGCACTATGGTTGTTTCTATAGTTTGAATCAGAAATGTCCCACAACATCGTAAGAGTTAAGGGCTTGTTACCCAAGGCAGCACCATTGGGAGGCGGTGAAAACTTAAGAGATGGGGCCTAGTAGAGCGTGTCACTGGGGGTGTGCCCCGGAAGTGGATTTGGGGGATCCTCATCTGTTCCTGATTTTTGCTTCCTGGTCACGAGGTAAGCTGAGCAGTTTTGTCTGTGCACCCCTGCCATGATATATGGCCCCACCACGCCAATCGGCCGTGTACTGAAACTTCTAAAACCCTGAACCAAAACAACCCTTTCTCTTAGCAAATGAATTACCTAGGTTATTTTATTATAGTGAAAGAAAGCCAGCACGTTGCTTGTGTGGGTAACGCGCAGCTTCCCAACAACAGCCTCACCTGTGAATGAACAGTAAGTACTTCCTTCCCCTCATTGTCCTCAGACTGCATCCTGGGCCGGGCTTAGGGAGGGAAATGAGTGTGTTTGGCTTCCCTGAACCACAGTAATATCACAAGTTCCCCCAGCGTGGGCCCTGTCTATGTATGAAAGAATCAACAAGACAGTGGGGGAAGGGAGCCCCGGTGGTGGCTCAGCGTCAGCGGGGTCAGAAGGCAGCAGGTGAGGCCAGATGTTTCGGTTACAATGCAGTGAGCATTTCCTGAGCGGCTCATGCCTTGGCTACAGTGGGTGTCATCAGTTATCAGTGAACAAGAATCCTTCATTCAGTGTAATAGTACTCAAGGCCTTGCCCTTGCCAGGCAGGCGCTGTGCCACTGAACTATATCCCGGACCCCTACCATTCGGTGTAGATAGGAAGGTGGTATGTGTCCAGGTACCAGCAGGGAGAGGCAGGTAGGAATTGCTGAGCACAGATCTCACCATCAAGTCAGTTTTATGCAAAACAGGCAGTGGCTTTCTCAGCCGAGTCCTCACTCTGGTCGGCAGTGGCTGCCTGTATCACTGAATAGATTTCGAATCTTACACACAATGACCTCACCACATTTGAATTAACTGCTGTCACCCACTGTCTAGCACCCCCGCCCCACCGCCCCAGGCAAAAAACGTGGCTCAAACTCCCTCCTTCCTCAGTTCCCTGGCTCCTCCTCCATTCGCCCCTCAGGGCTGGTCCCAACCCCGCCCTCTGGGTCCCCAGGGCGTGACCCGCAGGCCAGCGCCACCCCCTCTCCCCCCACGTCCCCTCCCTTGCTGATCTCAGCACCGCTCCCTCTAACGGCTCCCGCGGAAGGAAGGCTCCGATCTGGGGTTAAGAGACAAAGCTAGGCTGTCCCCACCTAGTTCTGAGTGGGGTCCCCGACTTTTGATGTTCCCGCGGTGACTCCCTAGGTCCGCCTTTTGTTTTTGTTCTCACGCCTCTTTTCCTCCTATCTGGAAGCGTTTTGCAGACTTTGTGACCTCGCCCAATTTCCAGCACTCCCTCCTGTCTGTCCATTTTAAATCACTGTTCTTTCCGGGTGCGAATTGGGGTTAAGAGGAGGCCAGAAAGATGGGCGGTGGGGGCGGGGGCGGGTCTGAATGCTTTATCAAGCACGAATACTGCCTTTTTAAAAAAGCATTTTCCAAAGCAGTTTGTAGCAGACAAAGTGGGATTAAAATTTTATGTGGACTATATTGAGTCAAGAAGCTAGGACGGCATTAACTTTAAAGCCATTTAGTTAAACCTGAATTACAAAGCCCCCCCACCCATTCTGCGACCCCCTTTTCCTTCCCTCTGCAAAACTCAACCCACACACACTCGACCGAGACACCCAGATCACGCCAGCCATGCCACGAGATGTGTTTTATTTTCATTCAACATACAAATAATTTTCTATAATATCCCAGGGCAAACCGGAGAATTTGGCAGTCCGATTGGGGGGGTCCCCTCAGAGACCCACTGGCCGGTGGCATCGGCGCGGAGTGCCCGGGTTCACAGTGCAGCTTGTGGCTCGTGTCCATCTTGCAAGTGGCTCTTCCTCCACATCACGACTGGGGGGTCTCGGAGACGACGGGGGTGGGGAATCCTGCAGGCTCTTAGGAAATCTCACTCCGCTTTTCCTGCTCAATGGCTGCGGAGAGCGGGAAGCGGGCACTGGAGGGCGAGGCCGGCACTCTGCGCCCCCTCCCGCACCCGGGCGCTCGCCAAGCTGGTGTGGGCGAGGCAGCCGAGAAGTCTGGGGTTAAGAAACGGGCTGGGGGCTGGGGCCGAGCAAGGCGCTTTGTGTAACTGCGGAGGGTGGCTGGGGCCGCCCAGCCCGGGGTCCGGGGGAGGGGGCAGGGCAGGCGCGGAGGGGCGGGCGGGACCGCGGGCCGAGCCGGGCGCACTCACTCTCTTTGGTCGGCAGGGTGTTCTTCTCCTGCGTCTCCGTCTTCTTCAGCTTGGCCTTATCGAAGCTGGCGATTTCCCCCATGTCTGGCTTGTCTGCCATTTTCTTTAAAACAATCCTGGGGGGCACAGCCAGGCGGTTGGCCTGGGGCTGGGGGCCGGCGCCCCCACCCCGCTCGCCGCCGACGTGGCACTCGGCCGGGGCGTTCCAGGCAGCCCGGGCCGGG